GATGTTAAGTGCTGGTCTGTTTCTGGTCTGTCACATTCAATACTGACTCCAAATTCTTTCATTTGAAAAGTATAACTCCAACCAAGTACTGAGACGTTAATCTCGTCACCAGGTTGTATATACTTTCCAGATTTCCAGTGGCATAAAAATGTCAGATCTTCATTTGATCCTGGAATGCCTATGAATGTTGGAGCATAAATCCACTTGTCGCCGCTGGTCACATTACTTAGTTTGATGTAAAAAGAATACCAGTTCCCAAATTGGTTTTCACCCCAGCGTTGAAATCTATGATGAGTGGAACGTGAATATACAACGCAGACATTAAGTCCTATTATCTTGGTATTAGTATGAGAATCAACTTTCAGAGTCAATATGCTTTCTTCACTCTTCGTACTGAACCAACTTGGAATCTCACTTCCAGGAAAGTATGTGCTGAAGATTCCAAACTCGTAGAGTCCCTAAAGGAAAAAAAAAGATAAAGCATGGTAAACTTGCCATAGGAGTTGGCTTTTTTTCTTTTGTATTTGTTTCTGTTGTACTTTGTAGAGATGGACTTTAGTAGATAAGAATGCTTAAGTGTCAGATGAAAGTCATGCTAATAAAAAACGCGTATACCTGCACAAGATATTTCCTCTTCGTGTCTGTAAGCCTATTGAATAGTTCTACCTCTGCATTTTCTATATTTTCCAGGTTGAGATGGCTTAAAATGTTCAACATTTCCTCCTTAAAGTTACCGACTGGCTCTAGCTTGAACAGTCCAGGAATCTCAGTTAGTTTCTCGCTTCCTGTAACATCCAAGAGTAGAGTTTGAGTTTCCCATAGGTTTGGCAGATTTGTAACTCTTTCTAATGATGTGCAGTCTATAGCCTTCAGCTTGATGAGGCTCGGAGGTAGCTTGGGAAGCGATTGGAGGCTTGGGCATGCATCTAGCCAAAGTTCCTGAAGCATACTTAGATTTGTGATATTTTGTGGCAGGTTACAAATCAGGTTTTCGCTTAGATTCAAATGCCTTAACGAGGAAAGATTGCAAAGACCAAGCGATAGAAAATCATCCGTTAGCCTGCATTTTGCAAGGCTCAAGCTAACCAGGGAACTTGATAAAGAAGACAAGGAGAAGTTGTTATAATCAGGAGATTTTCTTAATCTTGATGACCAAGATTGCCAGAGCTCAGTCCATGATTTCTCCTGATTGTAACTTATTTCGTCTGCGTTGAGGGTTGTTAAGGATTCCAGCTTTCCTAATTCCATTGTTGATATAGAAAGTCTAGAGCAGCCAGAAATGATAAGTGTTTCCAAGGACTTGAGCTTACAAAAGCTTCTTGGCAGATTCCTCAGATTCTTACAGTCTCTCAAGTTCAACAGAACAAGTGCCTTAACGTCTCCGATCGACTCATGAATACTGAACAATCTTATACAGTCCTTTAGGATGAGTATCTCCAGATTAGGAAGCCCAGAAAAATCAGGAGTCCTTCTTAGGAAATGAGAATGACTGAGATTGAGAACTTTTAATTGCTTGAGCACCTGAAATAGCAAATATCAACTTCATTAGGTTTATTAAACGAAGCTGTTACTACTTCCCCTACTGCTAAAACATGAAAGTACAACATATACCCTGGTTCCATCCCAGGCTTGTTCCAATTTGCTTTTCCTCATATCAAGAGCAACCAGGCTCTCCAAAGGAAAATCCTTCGGAATGAACTTCAAATAAAATCCATGCCAATGAAGTGATCTTAAATTCTTTGGAAACCAACTATAGCTGCCAGTGAACCTTGTATCAGTAAGCTGTAGAATTCTCAGTCTCTTCATCTTTGAAAATGCATCAAGTTCAAACTGTACACCATTTGAAATTTCTGAAAAGACATTTGTGAACAGCTCGAAAACAGTTAACCTCCGTCGCTTTTGTGAGTTAACGTCACTCACCACCAGCGATCTCTCACCTGCAGGATCATTAGAGCGGTTGTGTCTAGCATCATTTACACTTAAATTTGATCCGACATATTTGACTTCCTTCAACAGTCGCATGTCAAGCACTAGGCCTTGGATATTTTCAGTACCCTGATAAAAAGCAACAAATCATATTCATTAAGGGATATTGAAATGCATGTTCAAAATCATGGAGTCAGATGCTTACTGTTTTTGCCTGCAATATGTTAAAGGATTCTTTATGTAGCCAAATTCTGCTTCTTTTCCAAGGCTCTCGAGGTGATTCTTGGCGAATAATTTCTCTTCCCATGTCTTGAACTAGTTGATGCACCATCAGTTTTTTATTGTCAGTAACTGCTAATAAGCATCTATCGATAAGAATCTGAATTCCAACAACTGAAAAGAACCCACATCCATCAAGTATCGTTACTGCATAATCTTTGTCCTTCCCGACAAAGAAACAGACAATATCAAGGAATAGGTTCTGGACATTATCATCAGGTAGACATTCATAACTTATCCTTAGTTTTTCCAGGATTTTACTGTCTGGAATCGCTTTCAATTTCCTTATTGCGCTTTCCCACACCTCTGTGCTTCTGTCACCAAGAGAGGAACCCAAAACTTTAAGAGCCAATGGAATTCCCTGACAATGAACTATAATGTCTCTGGAAAGATTCATATAATCTAAGGGAGGGTATTTTTCACCAAATGCATGCCAACTGAAAAGCTGTAGTGATTCTCTAGCATCCAAAGAGTTCAACTTATACATCTTACATCTACAGGCTTCACTGGAATTTAGTAAGTGTCCATTTCTTGTTGTTATGATAATTTTACTACCTGGATAAAACAAATGCCGCATACCAAGTACAGCATTTAGATGATCTAACTCGTCCACATCATCAAGAACAACAAGAACTCTTTTGCAGCTGATGGCTTCTTGAATCTTGACAGCCCCTTCATTGACATTGTACAACTTTTCAACATTCTTCCCAAGAATATTTGAGAGAAGTTGTCTTTGTAGACGAGCTAAACCATCGTACTTTTCTAAAGCTTTTCTCACATCTGCAAGAAAGCTGCTTCCCTCAAATCTGTCAAAGTTCAGGTTATAAGCTGTTTTCGCTATTGTAGACTTCCCAATTCCTCCCATACCATGTATTGCCAGGATATCTACAGTGGTTGATTCCTCTTGCAGCCATAAGTTAAGGTCTTTAACTCGAGAATCTATTCCAATTGGATGGAGGGCAACACTTAAAATTGTGCGATTCAGTTTACTTGCAACCACCTTGACGATTTCTTGAATAAACCTTGATTCATACCTGAAAATTCGATTGAATCCAGTATTCTTACATTTTGTAATTAGCACTAACAATAACTGAATGACATAAACAGAAAAGTTCTAAAGGAATTACCCATCAGCTTGATTCTGTAAGACCATTCCTCCCAAATCAGCAACTTCTCGCAAGGCAGCCCTCCATTTCTCCATCCATTCGTCGTTCTTTGTTTTATATCTCTCTTCATACCTAAAGAAAGCATCTTCAAAGCTTCCTTTCTGCTTCCGGACTTGTGATGGATCCACATCATAAAACACAGGCAGAACAAAATGTCCAAAAGCTTTCTTGCTTTCAAGAATATAAACAAGTTCATAAAGGCAATTCTGTGAAGAAGCATAGTCTTTCGAAAAAACAACTATAAGAATCCTGGATTCCTGAATTACTTTCTGAACTTTTTTCTGATGTTCCTCTTCTTCCACAAGCTCTTCATCAAACGTGAATGCGCGAATACCAGCATTTAGCAAAGCTATATGAAGATGATCTCCAAATGTCTTGCTTATTTCTTTGCTTCTGGAACTTAAGAATACATGATGAACAAACTGAGACATCTTTTCTGATTGACTTTTGGCAAGAGGCATGGAATGGAAGTGTAGAAAAAGCAATGGAGTACAAGAGTAGATAGGCCACCTCAATTGTCAAAATGAAAAGGAATATTCTATACATTAATTTATTGAAAAGAAAATGAAGTCAATGAATCTAACCCCACTTGGATTCACCTAATATAGGTGTAATTGGAGGAGTTTCCAAGCAAGTTATTGTAGTTAGGCCAAGGAAGAAGCCAATGGAGAAACTCCAAACCAACAAAACCAACCTTGTAGTTTAGGAAACAAATTAAATCAGAAGCAAATTTATTGGTAATATCAGTGCATTTTTGTTGCAAACTTCTAATGGAAAGAATAGTTAGACTTTTTGCCAGATATTAATACCTTGGAACAATGAAATACTTAAAAATAAAATATACAAGGCACTCCTTTGTTTAAACTATTTTAAATTGTCTACGGTCACGTTATCATTCTCTTGCCTTCCGTCCAAATTTATTTACTTTAGTATAACAAATTATTAATAGAATAATTGATATATGATGTGATAGAGCATTATATCAAATGTATAAGTATAAATAGTATTAATACAGTCAATTTTTCTGGAAAAACTTGTCATATATAAAGTCAGAGGGGTTACGTGTTTATTTTTTTCTCGACCAAGTGGTGCCTAACTCCATCAGAAGAAGGCTATCCATGACAGAAAACATGTGATGCATTAGGACAAAAGGAAATTCCAGGGACACTAGAAATCTAAATGATGATAGCTTTTGAATTTTCAACTTACAGGCTTGTTCGATGAACCTGATCATTTGACTTTAGAATTGCGCCATTTTATTCCTCTGAGTCCACGTGGATACCCAATTTTCTTTGCTTTACATTTTTTCCTTTTCCATTACATTACGGGGGTCAAAGATTACTTGGAATCGAAATTCATAAAAGACTCTCATTGGTAAAGTTAAATTATAAAGTTTGGTTTAGTGTTTTTTTTTTTACCGGGGAACCAGCCAATTCCAGATCCGGACGCTGGTTGGGATTTTCTTTTTTTTATTTTATTAAACGGACTTTCCATTTCATCAAAAAAATTGTCTTTACAAAGTCAGGTTGATGCTGATCATCAGCCTCCAAATTACAATTACAAAATTAGACTATATTAATTACAATTCTAAACAAATTTTGAGTCAGCATTTGGCCTACGGGTAATGATTCAAGCTTTGCAATGTTGACTGCCATTTGCTCTTTTATCTCCCTTGTATGTGTAAGTGGTAATTACTGCCATACCAGCTTTCCTCTGAGCTAGAGTGCTTACCCATTCTATCTCAGTTCGCCAGCTGCCTATTCTCCTGTTATGGCCCAACCTGTTTAGTATTCTTTTCCATACTATGCTAGTATAGGAGCAATCAAAAAATAGGTGACTAAATGTTTCAATGCTCCTTGCACAGAAAGCACAATCCAATGGTACTTGGATTCCAAACTTCTGCAATCTATCCACAGTAGCTAGTCTCTGATGGATTGCCAGCCATAAGTGGAACTTAAATCTTGGATGGATCTGTAAATGCATATGTATACTCTTCTAGCCAACCTTTAAGAGTTGAGGTAACAATTGAATATATGCCTTATGTATTTGAAATCTACCCTGAATCTCCATAGTTGTCAGCTTTGCATTAAGGTTGGTGTGCATTGTGTTCATCTGCAACAATACTTGTTTTGCATTTATAATCTTCCTGACCACCCAAGCATCTGTCTTAGGTGTAGCCATAGTGTCAATATCTCTTTGTTTTATGTAGTAGCAATGTGCCCATTTGATCCAGAGTGTATCCTTTTTCTTTGCCAATGCTCATAATTGCTTTACGATTGCTGCTTTGTTCTATAATCCCATGTTGATGATGTTTAATCCTCCTACAGCTTTTGGTTGGCATACCTTGTCCCATACTATTAGTGCTTTCCTAGATGTGGCACTAGTACCAGTCCATAGGTATGTTCTACAAATAGTCTCAATCAGTTTCATGATTTTCTTGGGCAATATGAAGATTTGAGCCCAATAAGTCTGCATACCAAAGATCACAGACTTAATAAGTTGTACTCTCCCTGAATATGATAACATTTTTGCTGACCAGCAGTTGACTCTTTCTGTGATCTTCTCCATCAATGGTAGACATTGTTGATTGTTCAATTTCTTGGCAGACAAGGGTACTCCCAAGTATTTGAAAGGTATGGATCCCTCTGTATACCCTGTCAAACTTTTTAATGAGTCTTTAAGTTCCTTGTGTACACCAGCAATGTATATAGAACTTTTGTCTGCATTTGCCTGAAGGCCGGATGCATCAGAGAACCTTTAAAAGGTTTCCAGCATTATGGTCAATGAATTAATATCTGCCCTGCAAAACATGAGTAAGTCGTCAGCAAAACAAATGTGAGTCACTCCTAGCTTTTTGCATCGTGGGTGATAATTGAACTCCTTTATCAATGGTAGTTGATTCATCTTCCTTTGTAAGTATTCCATTGCAATTACAAAGAGGTAGGGAGACATGGGGTCTCGTTGCCTGATTCCTCTCTTAGCCTGAAATGGTTTGGTAAGGCCTCCATTGAGCACCAATGAGTATGACACTGTAGTCACACATTCCATGACCCAGTGGATAAATTTCTTAGGGAATCCAAGGTCTGCTAGCATGCACCTGAGGAACTGCCAGTCCAAGGAATCATATACCTTCCTAATATCCACTTTCAACACACATTTGGGGGATATACCTTTCCTATTATAACCCTTGAAAAGTTCATGGCTAAATAGGATGTTGTCAATAATGCCCATTCCTTCAATGAATGCTGATTGTGATTTTCCAATAACCACCTCTATCACTTTCTTGATTCTGTTGGTCGGTAATCTTGGCAAAAATCTTATATAGTATAGTGCAGCATGCTATTGGCCTGTAATCTCTCACTTGAGTTGGAGCTGGGATTTTAGGGATCAATGTAATAGCAGTACAGTTCCATGCTGACATCATTTTCCCTGTATAAAAGAAATATTTCACTGCCTCATAGATGTCCTGTTTCACAATCTCAGATTGCTTAGTGAAAAATTCTATAGGGAATCCATCCACTCCAGGAGCTTTATCATTTGGCATGTCCCTAATAGTTGCATCAATCTCCTCATGTGTTATATCCATTATCAATTCCTGTTGGTGCTTTAAGGTGAGGTAGTTTCCTGCTTTTATGATACTTGTGTTTGGGCAATGCATCAATCCATTTGCCTTCCCCATTAGCTTTGTAAAGAAGGTAAGAAATTCTTTGTCCACAGCTTTTGGATCATTTATCTTCACTCCTATTTCATTATATACTGATGTGATGGAATTTATGCTGGCCATTATTTTCATCTGTGCATAGAAGTATTTTGAATTTGCGTCTCCATAATCAATCCAGGTTGCTCTAGATTTCTGCCTCAAGATTCTTTCTTCTATTATGCTCCATTTTTCCAATTCAATAATACTTTGTTTCTCCTACTCAATCAGCATTTGATTAAAGGGAATAATGACAAGTGCTGCTTGTACACATTCTAAACCGTGCCTTGCTTGATTCAACCTTTGTTCATAGCCTGCCATGGATTTGTTCAGTCCCTTAGCTTCATCTTTTATTCTTTTGAGCTTCTGCCATATGAGTGACATAGGATCCCCTCTTTCCTGCTGTTGCCATACTCTATTCACCAAAGGTGAGAAGTCTTGGTGGTCCATTGTCACCATGTAGAGCTTGAATGGCTTGGGATAAGTAGCTCCTCTTCCATAATTGAATCACAATTGGAGAGTGATCAGATACTCCAGGGTCTAAAAAATTTGCTTCTAAGTGCCCATATATCTGAGTCCAGCTGAAGTTTCCAAGTGCCCAATCAATTTTGTTGTACACTCTACTACTTGCTTGTTGCTTGTTACACCAGGTGAAAAGGCATCCCTTTGTCCCAAGTGGAGTCAGTTGCATGTTGTCAATACATTGCTTGAAGTTTGCACCTCCCCAGATGTAACTGGTTTTCCTATTCTATCATCATTGCTCAACACATTATGAAGTCCCCACTAATGAGCCATGGTGTTTGTATCTGACTTGCTAATAGCTGCAGATCATGCCATAGAATTTCCCTTTCCTGAAGTTTATTCCTAGCATAGATTGCTGTCAACAGAATCTAGAAGTTTGTTGTTGGATCCTCCACAGAGCAGTGGATGAATTGCTCATGGATTTTGAGTATTTTGACTATTAGGTATGATCTCCATATTAGCCAAATCCTCCCATTTACAGCATGGGTATAATTACAGCAATAGCCCCAGTCCCTAGCAACCCTGTTCAATATATTTTTTGCCTTTCTTTCCTTTACTCTAGTTTATAAACATCCAAAGATGTCTATTTTATTCTTGTGCAGAAAGAGTCTCAGCTCCTTCTGTTTGTAGGGCTTGTTCAGCCCTCTAATGTTCCAAGTACACAAAATCATGGGGGTTTGAGTGCAGGATCAATCCCAGTCTCTGCTGCTTTAGAAGTGCTTGGCACACACTCTGCCAGAATCTTGAATCTATTTGTATTGGTGCCATATTCATTTCGAGACTACCGTTCTATTTAAACGCTCTGTCTATGCTGAATTCTACATTCACCAATCCTTCTGAGCAATTGTGTTAGAGAGTCTACGGCAACTGTTTTTTGTTTGTCATTTCCAACTCCTTCTTGCTGATCTCCCTTCCTTTTTGCATCTTCTACATCACCTTGCTCTATCTGTTCCTTTGGCTTCCATTCCTGCACTATTTTTTTCTTTCTTGCTCTGTTCCTTCTTTTTGGTGCTTTAAGTTCTGCCTCATCATTGTTTTGCTATTTGTTCCTCCAGCACTCAAAGTTTTCATGGCCAAAATGATTACAGTCACTACAGAACTTTGGTTTCCACTCATAGACAATTTGTTGCTGAATAGTTCCAGACGGAGTATCAATTTCTATACTCTCTAGCATTGATTTTGTGATATCAACCTTTACTAGGACTCTCACATATAAGATTCTGTTGAGATTAGTTGTATATCTATCAGTGTACATAGGGGATACAATAGCACTAGCCACTTTGCTAAGAGCATCTGCGGTCCAGTACCGAATAGGCAAGCTTGGAAAATTTACCCACAAAGAAATGGTAGTGATGCATTTAGGATCAAAATGAAAATCTCTTTCCCAGTTTTATAAAATAAGCGGCTTATTGTGGTACGAGTATGGACCTGCTTGCATCACTAGATCTCTGTCCTTAATTGTTGAGAATCTAAACACATAGTATCTGTCACTGTGATACAGTATTTGTGGCTTCGAAACAAAATCCCAGACAGATGTAATAAAAGCCTCCATAGATTTCTCTTATGGAGTATCACCTAGTACATAGCCAATTAAGGCAGTATCCCAGTAGTCATTTAGCTTTTGAACATCTTTCTCAACAATTTGAACTACAATTGTACCATCTCGATGACTAGGAGGCACATAGTCCAGTCGTGCCCATCTGAGAATTGCGATTTTGTTGCCTTAGATCTTTTGCATATTGATTCAGCATGTTTTTTCTTTGAGCTGTTTGTGCTTGTTGATCTAGGGTTGGGGAAGGTTGCACAGATGATCCTACCTCTGAGAAATGTAATCTTCTAGGTATTGTTGGCATTTGACTTTTACACTTTTGAACCTCCTTCTCCGCAATTAGATCTGCACTGTTCCATTCATTTCACTGTTACATTCCTTTTCAGAATTGCTTTCAATTTTCTCTCGAATTGGTTAAAATCGAGTTGGAAGAAAGCTACCAAACGTTAATGGAGTGAATGCTTGTTGTCCTATGGTCGCCGGAGTTACAGTTGAGCTTGCCATTGCCGGTTGTTTCCGTCGTCTTTCCATCACTGGTGCAAGTTAGCCTACCTTGGCTAAACGTGCGCCAAGAGAGAAGTCATGCGAAATTTTTTCTAAAACCCCTAATTTTCGCTGGATGGAATTTTAATAACACAAAAAAGTTCCAAACTTTGATTTAGTTGAAAATCAAAATACATTTTACCTCGTGAACACCTCATCCGACACAAATTTTTCTGTTAAAACAATACAGAATTTCTGAAAAAAGTTCATCACACAAAATATGTAAATGCATTGCATGATGTGTTATTCATTTACATAAGTATTTGGCGCAATACTAAACGGCCCCTTTAAGTTATTCACAATGACCAGATAAATACCTCAACTGACCAACCATTACCAATAAGACACTTCTTCTTGATTGAAAATTTTCGGATGAGTTTACTAGAGGTAATAGATTGAAGGGATTAACTTGGCAGTAGTAGTGGCAACGGTTGAGATGATAGCGGCAGTTTGAGGTTGAAGAAGACAGAAGCACAAAATATGAGGTGCCAATTTTCCTTTGTTGGCTTGCTATTCGGGTTGCCTTGGCAATGCTTGGAGTTGATTGTATAAGCAACTGTGACTATGTATATTGGAAGAAATTATTCTTTTTCAATCGAAAGTAAAACATCCGAAGAAGGAAAATTATGAAGATGAAGGTAAGTGTCGGCAACGACTCGACCAGTCATTTTGAGAATTAGTGTCTCGTTCGGCGGTTTAAGGTCTTGATCAGATTCGTATTATGTATTATGACTTGCGTGTGCGGTCGAGTTTGGGTTTTGGATGATTCGGGATCAATTTGGAAGAAGGATTCTTGTTTTAGAAGCTTAAGCGCTAAGAGTTGACCCGAATTTGACTTTTATGTAAACGACTCTGGAATGGGGTTTTGATGGTTCCAATAACTTTGTATAGTGATTTTGGACTTAGGCATGCGTCCGGATTTGGATTTGGAGGTCCGTAGAACAATTTGAAGCATTTTGGAAAAAAATTGGAAAGTTTAAGTTTTGGAAGGTGGAGAGGTTTGACCGAGGGTTAACTTTGTTGATATCGGGTTCTAATTTTGATTTTGGGTGTTGGTATATCTCCGATGTGTCATTTGGGACTTGCATGCAAAAGTTAACATCATTCCGGGTTGGTTTGATATGATTCAGCACGAGTTGTAGAAGTTGAAAGTTCATAAGTTTATTAAATTTGATTTGAGGTGTGATTCATAATTTCGACGTTATTTGATGAAATTTGAGGCCTCGAGTAGGTTTGTGTTGTGTTACGGGACTTGTTGGTATATTCAAACGAGGTTCTGAGTGGCTTGGGTGAGTTTCAAATAGGTTTAGGTTGTGTTGCGCTTGTTTTTTATGCTTCAGCGTCGTTTCTTCAAGAATAAATGGTACCACATTAAGAAAATGAGTTCCAAATTCAGTTTTTATTGAACCATTAGATCCTTATCATAATTACAGAGCCACAACAAAAAGAATCATCGAATTCGGACATCGTATGAGAGAGTTATGCTCATTTCCGTGTCAGGGAGACTGCTGGTTTCTGGTGTGGTCGCAATAGCAATGTAGTTCGCAATTGTGATCATTTTGTCTCAATTGTGAACATTTGTCGCAATTGCGACATTTTCCAGCCCTGTTCTTGTTCGCAATTGCGAAGGCTTCTTCGCATTTGCGAACCCTTGATCGCAAATGCGACATCTGCAGCTTGTTTTCAGCTGTGTAATTTGGGTTTTTGCATTATTTTGTGATATTTTTGTACCCTAGGTCCGAGAGTGGGCGATTTTGAGAGAGGAATTTCATCTACAATCGTTGGGTAAGTGCCCTTGTTCAATTTCTATGTATACTTCATGATGTTTTTGAGTTTTACCATCAAAATGGTGAGAATCAAAGTGAAAAATTGGGAAATTTGTTAAAAAATGAATAATGAGGATTTGGAGGGCGATTCGTT